ATAATATCTTTTTGACATATATTCAGAATCTAATATAAATATTTCCTTAGAAATTGCTAATTTAGATTGGTTTTAACATGGAGCTAGGTAGTTTAGGCTCTTTAATGGATTGATTATAAATAATTTAAATTCATTACATGAACTTATGATTTTTATGTTTATATATCTATTGAATAAGAAGCGCATCAGCCAGTAGATATTGTTTATTTCGAAAATATTGTTCTTATTGATATAGCTATATAGTTGAAAAGATTACTTCTTCGACACATGTAAATCTTTTATTTTGACCTCTGCTGAGAACTGTATGCGGTTGAAAGTTTATATAACTTTCTTGTTTCGTAAAATTTAGATACTTTGATGTGTCTCAAATACCGAAAATTCTTTTCCTACAGCAAAAAGTAATAACCTCCCTTTTCCTTCTTTTTCAAAAGGTATCCTCCAAAACAATTTTTCAAAATGACTATTTACAAGCCAGCCGTATCTTCATATGTACAACTGAACGCTCCAATGACTTGACTCTGATTGGAAACATATCCTTGTATTTCTGCATTTGTTCTTGTACTTATTCTTTTCTAAAACAAATTTGAATGAGAAATGTTATCGACAAGATATATCGATCAAATCTAAACCTATTCCTTCAAAGTTCTTGTTTCTAATTTGTGGGTAACAAGAAATAAGGTATGAGGTGTATTTTGAACGTGATCCGAACCTTTTGCTTGTTTAAATATTGATCGATCAAACCTGTTTCCAACAAAGATTTCATTCAAAATGTGATAAAAATTGCATGATGAGTCCTTGATAATTCATTTAAAACTAGAGCAATTTTGTAGATTATTCGGAAGCAAAATTCAAGACAAAAATGGTCATGCGTTTTATAGATTGCAGTTGTTTAATAGACGTTTCTGTCGACATTATTTTTTTTCCACTTGATAGAATGCACAAATTCACCCTATTTTGAATAGATCATTATGTTTAAAATCTAACTGTGTGACGGTCAAAGTTCTTCAGCTAATATAGATAAAATATTGTTTATTTGTAGAAATAAAAATTTTGGAAAAGATTGAGTTGATGCAAAACCTGCTATCCATTACTAACTCAGATAATGATACAAAAACAATATTTTCTCTAGATTATATGACGAATTTTGACCGTCACATACTCTAGATTTAAACGCAATGATCTATTCAACTTGAGATAAATTTGTGCATTCTAGAAAGTGGAAAAAAAGTAACATCGAAAGAAATACCTATTAACCCTTTGGCTATCGCCGCCGTATACATACGTCAGGAGCCTCATCTTCGCGTGAACTAAATTATCACTCATAATGTATCTTTTTCACATGCATTTGCATAAAAACACACGTTACGCACCGCGCGCATACAAGACTCTCTTATGTCGACAGCCAAAGGGTTAAACAATTACAATATATGATGTGAAAAACTTGCTTTACAAAAAATACTATTTCTCCGACTACTTTCTGAACTAAACTTTGTCAAATGATGAACAACAATTATGATAAGAAAAAAGATACCATTTTTGTAGAGAATTAAAAGATGGATCTTTTCATTAAAAAAATAATGTCAAAACCGACGTATATCGAAAGAGATATCCTCAAAATACCAAGAGGCTCATTTTTCCTGGCACACCCGATATTTTGCTCAAATTCATCTTCTGGTTACCGTGTTTCAGTCATTCACTCTATCGAATTCGTCGTGGACAAGTACCAAGGAACCTTTTTCGACCAAATCAAAATGTATAACTATAGATTAGATATCCGCAAGTGTCAAGTTGCTTCTAGTAGTTTATTCGTTACCATTACTAGACTCCCAGGGGATTCAAAGACTTTAGCTAGATTTTGGCTCATGTCGATTGATTCTCGTGATTCTCAAAGATTGTCATCAACATTAGAAAACGATCATAGTGCAAGAACAAACATGTATCTTTTTTCGGGATAAAAACTTTCGATCACATAATGTCAAATTTTTTTTTTGATAAAGTATTAGACGATGGAAAAACAAGATATAAAACACTGCTATCCAACCTACTCCACCTGTTGTTTTATCAAAAATGTGCTAAATAAAACTGTAAAGAGCAGATTATCAAAGCATTAAAGAAAATATGTAAATCGTTTGAACGCCTCAAACATTATTCACATTCACTTTTTGATTAAACTTTTGAAATATCCTGTAAAATCATTGGGATCGAAACCGAAAATGCTTTGTCGCGTGTGTCTCTACTCGAGTCTCTGTGAGAATATCAAATAACTACAGAAGAACTGTGACATGTGCTTATTTACTCAAAAAGCTCTACGAAAAACACCTATGTTCAATCTATCTTATTGTATACAATGTGACTAGTTTTCTCTATGTTTACTCTCCATTATAGGTTTTGACCCTTAGTGTCGGGTATAACATAGATGCTAGTATATACAATTTGATTATCTGTCGTCTTCATCTGCAGATAGTCAATTTATTCGATGTTTTGAGTATGTTTTATCTGATTTTGACTTCTGTTGGTCAAATTATTGTTATTCTATCAAAGACCCTTCTACAACAACGAAGTACTTGCCATTTAGCCTATTTTTGTACTATTATTGGAATATTGTTTCATATTCATGCTTTGATCGCCTCCCATATTCGACAACTTGCTCCTAAAGCTTTTCTTCATTATTGTCAGTTATTATTTGATGACGAAAAAGAGACTTGGGCACTTTTGATAGTGTAAATGAGAGCGAGTGGCTAGCTCCATCCTCATTCAGCCACTTTCAAATTAACAGTGAGAAAAAATGATTGGACATAAATTTTTTAGATCAGAACCCGAAACAGATCTGAGACCAAATATGAGGCTAACAACTTAGATTGTACAATATAAGATCACTGCTGATTACACATTACTTGAACACAGAAACAGGCTTCCCGATTATGGAGGAGATTTTCCACACCAAACATCGGCAATATCGTCAACTTTCTGCGCAAATTTCTAATACTTTCTGTCAAATTTTTTGAAGTTTCATGGTAAATTCAGGAAGAGATTTGACTAGTTCGCGCGCTTCTTGTCGTTTTTCTGATAGAAAATTGATTAAAAACACTTTCTGTCAACAAAATCTTCCAGAAATTCCATGAATTCATCATTTTTCTGGATAAGTTCTATCGGAAACTCATATGTCGTACTTTCTCTCAAACCTTTATCTCCTCTCACTTTTCAAAACAATCGGAAACCCCGAGGATACTAATTGTTTTTTCTTCTACAGGGTGTTAAAAAACCATTACGCCCCTCCCTTCCCCAACTGTTTTATACCAAATTAAAGCCCGTAAAAAACTGCATCTGTGAGTGTGATTAGAGCAAATATTGTCTATGACATTATTAAGATATCCGGTACTATATATTAAAATGTCATGGATAGTATAATCCTGAATCTATGAAAAAGCTATTATGCCACACACTCACTTAAATTGTGGATCATAGAGTCTTCAATTTATTGGTAATATAAAATGCTCACAAACACGTTTTTTTGACAAAGTTTCAAAAATTTGTATGACTTCCTTCAACAGCTTTGAGAGCATCAAATCTTTTCTTCATTGAGCACAATAAATCAACGAAAAGATCTGTGTCATCTTCGAAATCTTCGAGCGTACTCTCAAGATTAATTTTGAGAACATCATAATTATATCTGTTTCGACGGTCTTCGTTTGTCATCAATTCTTCAATTTTATCTTTAATAATTGCACCAATGTTTTCTGTAGGATTCGTGTTAGGACTGTTGTCAGGCCAAATTGAATTCCCCCAGAACTTCGCATTTTCATCTTCTAGAAGATGCAGTGTTGCATTGGCTTTCATGCAAGGTGCCTTACCGTGAAGAAATATCACTTCATTCGTATCAAGAACATTCGATGGATCGCGAAGAAATGAAATCACATGTTGTTGAAGAATAATTTCGCGAAAATAGGCATCATCCCAAGATTGTCCAAGTTCTTTTAGCATCCAAAGAATTTTTTTGCAGTAAACATGACGAAAACTCCGATACATCTTGCGTCATGAATTATTTCATGAAATCTTTCATCGATGCTGATGTCTTCGATATTTTTTGCTCATATTCGATTATTTTGGTGGTTTGGTTTTCGTATCACATAAATATAAAATTCATCCAAAGGTGCAACATGTAAGAAATCTTCTTCGGTTCAATCGGCAACAAAATTTACGAGCCATTTCCGATCTTCAATATGCGTATTTGTCTTTAATGGCTTGGCAATCACATGGAA